GTCGCACCAGTTTGCTAGTAGTTTAAGTGCACTATTAAGACTACTTTCTGTCCTCTTCTGAGTGTTTTTCTTAGGGACAGAATACCATAGAACAAGATCATCTGCATAAAGTAGGCACTACGGTGACTGTCTGTACCAATTCGGCTATATCATTGATGGAAACTGTCTGTACCAATTCGGCTATGTCATTGATGAAGACATCCCTGTGAAAGGCCTGTTTGTAAAGGATTGGATTTTGATAGAGCATTTAAGCTGTTTGTAAAAGATTGGATTTTGATAGAGCATTTCCAAGGCAAAAGATTGGATTTTGATAGAGCATTTCCGTATCTGAGAGATCGGATTTTGATAGAGCATTTCCATATCTGACTTAACCCGCATCTGGATTTACATGATCTTTGTTCAATGAATGCTTTTATCTAGTTTAGCATTCATTGAATGCTTTTATCCAGTTTAGCATGTTATTCTTAATAAGGATTTCCGTATCTGACTTTACACGATCTTTGTCTAATGAATCTTATCCAGTTTAGCATGTTATGCTTAATACCAATCTATATCAATTTAGCATGTTATGCTTAATACCAATCTTTGCAATTTTTAATTTGGCATGTTATGCTTTGTAAAATGAATGCTTTTATCCAGTTTAGCATGTTATGCTTAATCCCAATTTTCGCAAATTTTAGAATTAGCTTCTCTTTCCATACTAAGTGCCAATTTTAAGAATTAGCTTCTCGTTCGATACTAAGTCATATGCTGATTTGAAATCGACGAAAACAGCATATTTCTTGCATCAATGGCATCTTTGATGTGTTGGAAGATTTGCATTAAGGGCATCTTTGATGTGTTGGACGGTCCAAAACCTGCTTGTTCATTGTAAAGAATGTTGTTGGTCTCAAGGAACCAGGTCAGCCTCCTGTTAATCATTCTTTCTATAAGTTTAGCCAACACGCTTGTGAGGGAGATAGGCCTATAGTTGTCAAAGTTGCTAGGGTCTTTGCCCTTTTTTAGTACTGGTATTACTATGGCAACTTTCCATTGGTTAGGTACGAGACTGGTCTCCCAGATTTTGTTGAAAAGTGTCAGCATGGTTTCCTTGGCTTTTGGTCCCATTCTACTTAGAAATTCCGGTTGAATACCGTTTTCGACAGGAGACATTTTGCACTTGAGCTGTTTTATCGCAGAATTAAGTTCGCAAGGTCTAAATGGTTGAGTAAGTACATTATTTGGTGTTGTTATGTCTTCCTTAGTTTCTCCAAACTGCCTTACTTGTATCTTTAAATCTCTTGGAGATTTTTTGACAAAAAGATTTTTCTTTTGCCTGTGGGAATAGAACCTCGCAAAGTAGTTAGCTATTTCGGAGCCGGTGGTAAGCAGTTTGTTGTTTAAGCGTATTGATTCTTTCTTGTATCTTTCCTTGTTGTTTGGAGGTTACCCAGGAATTTGAAAATGCGTTGGCAATCACTTTGATAGTTGATATTTGAGATGAAGTTGTCGAAGGAAGTCCGTTTAGCCTGTAAGATGTCTTGCCTTAGGACAGCCGACTGTCGTCTCCAGGCTTGTACGTCTTCCGTTCTTCCAGTCAGGTGTTGCGAAGGGCGTCCCGCTTTCTTTTCAGTTCCTCCTTTCTTTTCAGTTCCTCAAGGTGTTTAGATCAAAACACGCATTCTTTTCAGATCCTCATGGTATTCAGATCAAAACACTCGATAGTGTTCAGTCTTACCACGGGAATAGTTTCCTTTGATCATCTGATCTTAATATTCGTGATTTCGTTGAAAAGTTTGTCAGGATGTTGGTTAAAGTTGAGGGGACTTGTCCATTGTCTAAAAGGTTAGTGAATCTAGACCAGTCAGGCTTCTTGAAGTCCCATGATAGCTTAGTTGCACTTTCCATGTCATGCTTTTGCTGCCGATGGTAATACTAGCAATGACCGGTTTTGTCAGAACCACACTAGCAATGACTGGTTTGTGACCAGAACCAGGATCGTCTTTATTTTGCGCCTTTGATATGCTTTTGCTGCCGATGGTAATACTAGCAATGACGTGGCTATTGTCAGAACCACACTAGCAATGACTGGTTTGTGATCAGAACCAGGATCGTCAGTTATTTTGTGGTATGTATGCTCGCTGATGTCGGTTGAAGCCAGGAGCAAGTCACTGCTCGCTGATGTCGGTTGAAGCCAGGAGCAAGTCAGGAGTTGTTCTGGTTTCATTGTGGTGCAAATATGAAGCAGGATCTTAATGCTGTAAATAAGTTCTAGAATGTCGCTGTTTGGCATGTCTTCGATTTCCTTTCCAGCTAGGTTTATATTCTTATAGCCCAATCTGGTGAAATGTGCATTGAAATCTCCTAATACTACAGTTTTGTGTGAGATGTTCAGAAAATCAAAGCTGGGACTATTATGGGATGGATTATAGACCGCGTATATCTTGAAGTGTTTTTGACATTTCCAAGCATTTAATCGGATTATTTCACACATGTTTTGTGTCGAGCCCATACTCTTGATTAGATCGTAATGTGATGTGAGGCCTTCTTTTACTCCAGTCAGAATTCCACTTGCAACATGCCGGTATTTAGGTAGAAGGTACAGGGTGTAACCTGGGAATTGGTAGTATTTCAGTTTGTCATCCGAAAGGTTTGCTTCCATAATTGTGAAAATGCCTACATCATAGGCATGTAGGATTTTCTGGATTTGGATCATTTTGTCCTGTGATATCCCTCCAGCGTTCCACTGAAGGATCCGTATAAGCTTGGATTCGCCCTGACTTGGGCGATTTCTCTTATAGCTTTGTTTCAAGCCAATCGTATTAAATAGAAGTCAAAATCCGAGTGATGGACTTTTTTACCGTATGAAGATACGTTGTCCGGGGTGCACCACTTGAAGGTAAGTCTATCGCGCAAACTGGTTGCAGGATATCATTTGACCTTAAAAACGTCATTGCAATCCTTTGCTCTAATGAAATGCACTCCTCAGGCAACCATCGCTTTGTAGTAACACCTAGATACTTCGTAGTGCTAGGGAAGCCAGCCCAAGTCCTGTCTCCAAATTCCGAATTTTTTCTGAATTTTGGACTCAATTATTTTGACGTACTCAAAAAGCGTACTCATTCCCTAGATTCAGATGTCAATTGCATATTCTACCTGTCGGGAATAAATGGTTATAGGAAAGCGTCTTTTGGGTCATTTCATTCATTATTTATTTACTTATTTATTTATATCAAATGGCAGGCGTCTTGATGGTTATCATTAGCCCTTTAGTTGACTTCAGGCTTCACAGAGCGGAAGGAACATCATATTGAATAAAGTCGAGAGGGGGGAGGGGGGGAACAGAAGAGTGTTTCAAAGATGTAAGAGACAAACACAAAGGTAGAACAAAGGTGAGGTGAGTACTGTGAAAATAGTCGAATATGGCATAGAGTGAGGTGATGGTGGTTTGAAGCCAGAAGTCAACTGCCAGTTAATAGACTTTTTTGCCGTACGAGTATACGTTGCCCAGGGTGCACCACGTGGAGGTAAGTCTATCGCACACCCCTTTCATTCATTATAAGGTTGAATATAAGAAAGCAGAAAGTTGAATTTGACATTTATAAATGAAGCTGACTTAGAGTTATTTTGATGGAACATCGACCCAGGCGAATTTCATCAAGATGATAAACTATTGATGACAAAATATGACTTGTAGTTCAAAAGTTCACAAAGCTATTTTTCTTTCTGATTTATGTTAGCAATAGATTATTTTTCCAACTCACCACTCTTTCCTAATTACCAGTTTAACATTGAGTGGCTTAGTGCACTATGAACAAAAAGTTACGTTAAATAATAATATTAGTATTAAAATGCTGAATAACACTAGATTTCTGGAAATCGGGCCACTAACTTTGAATTCTATTTATTATATTGATAATCATTATGGTTCCTGTCCCCTTTGTCAATCGCATCAGTGAATCGAGAA